CTAATTTTTTATATTTTTAGTAGAGACAGCATTTCACTGTGTTAGCCAGGACAGTCTCGATCTCCCGACCTTGTGATCCGCCCACCTCGGCCTCCCAAAGTGCTGGGATTACAGGCGTGAGCCACTGCAACCGACCGAAAATAGCTTTTTTAACAAAAGCCTGTTCTCTCCCCTCACTGTTCCTCCCACTGCCATGCCCCAAAGAAAAGTTTTTTTAAAAGTTGTGGAAAAATAGACATAAATAAAATATATCGTTTTAGCCATTTTTAGGGGTACAGTTCAGTGGCATTAAGTACATTCACATTGTTATACAACCATTACCACCATCCATCTCCAAAACCCTTTGATCTTCCTAAACTGAGACTCTATACCCATTAAACAAATAATAACTCCCCATTTTCCACCCCACACACCTCACCCCTGGCAACCACCATTCCATTTTGTCTCTATGAGTCTGACTACTCGAAGTGTCGCATATGAATGGAATCATACAGTATTTATTCTTTTGTGTTTGGCTTATTTCACTTAGCACAATGTGTTCAAGGTTCATGTGGCTTGTAGCATGTGTCGGAATGTCCTTCCTGTTTTTTTTTTTTTTGAGAGGGAGTCTCGCGCTGTCGCCCAGACTGGAGTGCAGTGGCCGGATCTCAGCTCACTGCAAGCTCCGCCTCCCGGGTTTGCGCCATTCTCCCGCCTCAGCCTCCCGAGTAGCTGGGACTACAGGCGCCGCCACCTCGCCCGGCTAGTTTTTTGTATTTTTTAGTAGAGACGGGGTTTCACTGTGTTAGCCAGGATGGTCTCGATCTCCTGACCTCGTGATCCGCCCGTCTCGGCCTCCCAAAGTGCTGGGATTACAGGCTTGAGCCACCGCGCCCGGCCTCCTTCCTGTTTTGAAAGCTGAATAGCATTCCATTGTATGGATATACCGCATTTGTTTATCCATTCAATCATTGATGAATATTTGGGTTGTGTCTGTCTTTTGGCTATTGGGAATAATTCTCTTGTGAACGTTGATACACAAATGTTTGTTGGAGTCCCTACTTTCAATTATTTTGGGTATATACCCAGAAGTAGAATTGCTGGATCATATAACTCATTTTTAATTTTTTTAGGAACCACCATACCATGCATTGCGGTGGCCCCATTTTACATTCCCACCACCAATGCACACGTGTTCAATCTCTCCACATCCCCATCAGTACTTGTTATTTTCTGGGTTTTTTTGTGGGTGTTCTTTTTTTTGTTGTTTTTTGAGACAGAGTCTTGCTCTGTCACCCAGGCAGGAGTGCAGTGGTGTGATCTCAGCTAACCACAGCCTCAACCTCTTGGGGTCAAGCGATCCTTCTGCCTCAGTCACGCACCACCACACTCAGATAATTTTTGTACTTTTTGTTTAGGCAGTTTCTCACTTCGTTGCCCAGGCCTGTCTCAAATTTCTGGACTCAAGTGATCCACTCACCTTGGCCTCCAAAAGTGCTGCGATTACAAGCGTGAGCACCCACACTGGGCCTGTTGTTGTTTTTAAATAACAGCCATCCTAATGGGTGTGAGGATAGTTTTGATCTGAATTTTTTGAGTACCTTCTCAAGTGCTTATTGCCCATCTGTATATCTTCTTTGGAGATATATTTCTTTTTTTTCTTTTTTTGAGACAGAGTCTTGCTCTGTCGCCCAGGCTGGAGTGCAGTGGCAGGATCTCAACTCACTGCAAGCTCTGCCTCCCGGGTTCAAGCCATTCTCCTGCCTCAGCCTCCCAAGAAGCTGGGACTACAGGCACCTGCCACCACGCCCGGCTAATTTTTTCTTTTTCTTTTTTTTTTTTTTAAGTAGAGACAGGGTTTCACCGTGTTAGCCATGATGGTCTCAATCTCCTGACCTTGTGATCCGCCTGCCTCGGCCTCCCAAAGTGCTGGGATTACAGACATGAGCCACCATGCCCGGCCTGGATATATTTCTTTGGGGAATATATATTTGTGTTTTATTTTCTTCTGCTACTTGCCTCTAAATGACATACTTATTTTGCCATTTTTAGATTTTCTGTTTGATAAGTGGGGATTTGCACCCCATCTCTCCTCCCTAAGTCTTGCTACTATAGTTTTTTTTTTTTTTTTTTTTTTTTTGAGGCGGAGTCTCTCTGGGTCACCCAGGCTGGAGTGCAGTGGCCGGATCTCAGCTCACTGCAAACTCTGCCTCCCGGGTTTACGCCATTCTGCTGCCTCAGCATCCCGAGTAGCTGGAACTACAGGCGCCCACCACCTCACTCAGCTAGTTTTTTGTATTTTTTAGTAGAGACAGGGTTTCACCGTGTTAGCCAGGATGGTCTCGATCTTCTGACCTCATGATCCGCCCATCTCGGCCTCCCAAAGTGCTGGGACTACAGGCTTGAGCCACCGCGCCCAGCCACTACTATAGTTTTATTATTATTTTTGTACATAATGACATACTCCTTTATTTTTATTTTATAGTCTGCCCCGCCCTTTCCCTCTCAACTACTGACAGATGTAACTTCCAAGGTTAGTGATACTTACATTTACATTCTGTTCTGTAACTGTGACTAGGTCTTCTGTACTTTATTCATAGGTTGATGTTACAAATGAAAAAAAAAATCAATAAATGGTGTTTTCATTTTGAGCCTGCTTTTGAAGCACAGAAGCAGGACATGGGCAAAGGGGTGGGAACAAGGGCTTTCTCATGGTAGCCAATGGCATGAGCCAAACTACAGGGATCATAAATCATGCAAGTCACTTGCAGCATAAAGGAGATGTGATGGCTCAGGCAGAAGGCCCCTTAGGGAGCAATGGGGAATTGAATTGGTTAAAGGGAACGAAGGGAACTTGGAAGATCTGGATGGCCCACTGCCCTGCTCTGGATGGCCCACTGCCCTGCTCACCACTTCCCTATACTAGCCCAAGAATGCTGGGTCAACATGATTCCCCCACCATGGCTCACAGACTTCCCCACCAGCCATCCTGACTTTCTCCCAGCCTTCCTCCCCATCCACAGAACTAGTGCCTACCAGGGCTTTGCAGAAATAAAACAATTCCCCCTCCTAAAAAAGGTTTGCAATTCCTAACACAGAGGAAGGTCTTAGAGTGAAGACACGAGAGGAAGGAGAGGATGGAGGAAGAAACAATCACTGAAAACTGGCCAACTACCAGTTCTGTGCCACCTACTCGATTCTTATCCAGCCCTCTGCATGAAGTTGGTATTATGATCCCCATTTGACAGATAGTGAGGCTGGAGAGGCCCCGTGACTTGCCCAAAGCCACAAAGAGACTTCGGGCAGAGCTTTGGCCTATGTTTAAGAGGCTGAACCTCTTTAGGATTCAGTTTCTTCATCCATAAAAACAAAGACACATTCCAAGGCATGCCTGTTCCTTGCAGGGTGTTTGTGAGGGTCAGAGAAAATGTCCTTGAAGAGCCTGGCATGTACAAGATACCCTGAAACTGATGGCTATGATGCCACGGCCTGTGCACCTAGGAAGAGTCAGGAAAGCCCAGTGTCTTGAAAAGCCGAGGCTGGAGCAAAGTTCAAGGAAGAACTCACTTCTCTCCTGCTGAGGACTGACCCTCAAACTAGCCAGGAGAGTGGAAGGACCTACAAGATCAGTACCTACCCCTCACTTCATAGGCCAAGAGAAGGACAATGGTTTACCCAGGGTCACCAAGCAAGCTAGAGGCTGAGTCTGCCAGTCAGGGCTGGGACCCCAGACTTGTGAATGCCCCAGCCCTCCACATTCCCTGGTCCACTATCAAAGAGTTAGTCTAATTAGGAAGGCACACCCTTGCAGGCCCAGCCTCCTGTGATCTCTTTGTTCCTCTGTCTCTTCCTGCCCCAACTCCACAGAAACTGAAGTGTGTAGACCCTCCCTAGGAACCGGGGTTCCAGAGAGGATTTGAGGTCACGCTCAAGATCATAAAGAGGCTCAGCGTGGACTCCTTCTCATGACCAAAATGGAGCCAGAGTTCCCAGATAAGGGCAAAGGTCACCTCAGGCCAGGCTCCACTCTCAGCCACCCCTTCTGCCTGGCAGAGTTCACTTCATCTCCTCCTGTCAGGAGAGGGGAGGTCACACTGCCAGGGCCTTTGCCTCGTTCTTCTCCAGCTCCTTCTCTAGAGGAAGAGTCATGGCTAGCCCGAGGCAGTGTGGACCTGGAACAGGCATAAACTGTGCTACTCTTTGGTGCCCAGTGCCACCTTTCCTAGCCAGGAGCAGAGCAGGATTATCACCTTCTGTGTCCCGCAGCTCGCCCGTGTCTTAGTACCCCACCCACTCCTGGAACTCAGGAACCCTAAGGAGGGGCATAGGGTTGCTTTCCATTCACGCCTAGCTCAGCACAGGGAACTGTGCCACAGGCCCCAAGACAGGCAGATGGAGGATGAAATACACAGGTCCCAGTCCCTGAGGCCACCTTATAGTGCCCGGCCCCCAACCCTGTGAAGAAGGTCAAGGCAGAGGCAGCAGAGGAGGGATGGGAGGATGCCTCGTGTGAGATGGGGTACAACTGGTGTCCCTTCTGAAGCTGACATCTGGCCTCAGCTACGACTCTGGCGCCAGCAGGCTCGCAGGGGGCTCACCCGTGACACCCTTTGTCCCGGCTGCCTCCCCACCCCTGCGGGCCCTCTGCTCCAGCTGGCATGCCTCAAGGGCGCTTCGCGCCTGCTCCTTTGGCCCCTGGCTTGCAAGCGGCGGGGCCAGCATGTGACCCGAGCGCTAAAGGGGGCAGGGGATGGACGGATCTTGACTTTGCCATCTGGCCCCTCTGGGAAATCAACAAACGTTTGCGCCTCTAACATCCAGGCCCCTGAGAATGGTCGCGAGGAAGATCTGTCTCGGACTGCAGCTGGGGCCTTCGGATCCAGAGGAAACCAGGGCTATTCTTCGAGGGTAGGAGGGGGAGGGTCGCGGGGTCTGCGGGGAAGGTGGCCCCGCGCGAAGTCGCCACCGCCGCGCCTCGCCCCGCCCCGCCGGCCGAGACCGAGTCCGCCGCACCCCATAGGCAGAGGCCACCCTCCCCGCCTCCCCGCCTGCTCTGCGCCCGCCCCGCCCCGGCTCACTTTAAAAGTTTACTCTGGCCGGGACGCTGGGCGATGCGAGCCACTGCAGCCTACGTCGGGATGCTGCGCCTGGGGAGAATGTGCGCCGGGGGCCCGGGGGTGCTGGGGGCCCGGGCAGCCCTCTCTCGGAGTTGGCAGGAAGCGAGGTTGCAGGCTGTCCGCTTCCTCAGGTACTGGCCCCCCGCGGGAAGAGAGGGGGCGGGGCAGTTCCCTGGGAGAGGAACTTGGAGGTCCTGCCGAGCTTCGGAAGCCCCACCTCTGGACGAGTGCACCGGGGGGAAGGTACCCGCCCCTCACCCGCCCCCTACGAGCACCTAGGCAATAGGAAAAGCTGGCTTGGCCTGGTGGACTTGGCAGGGGGCTTTGGTTGGTGGCTGCAGGGACTTCGAGTTCTGGTCCAAGACTCTCGATTCTTTCTCCTTTATGGGCACAGAGGGCAAGGAGTGTGGGCTTTAAGGAGAATATTCCGATGGGGAGGGGCCAGGGCCAAGGCCTGGGCTGTACGCCCAGGCCACTGCCTCTGAGTTAGAACCCCTGCATGGGCAAACTTGGGGATCAACCCCATTCTCCCCGACCCAGGCCACTAAACTTAGCAGTCTCCTCTCTCCTCATCAGCTGCTCACTAACATGGCTTTTATTCTTTGCTGCCTGCTCCTGGGCCTATTTTCTTCTGTCCTCAGTGCAAGGGGTGGGATGGAAACTGGCAGAGGATTTCAGTTGCCAGTAGTTTCACCGCCTCTGCAGCAGCACAGTAAGTAAAGCTGCCTTCCGGTGTGACCAGTCCCTGGGAGGACCTCGTGAGATGGCAAATGTGAAAGTGCTTGAGTCACAGAGAGGAGGCTGCCACCAATGCTATCAGTGCTGTTAGCTTCAGCAGCACCACTGGGGAGCCCTGTGCACCACTGAGCCTGTCCTACCACTCAACTAGGCCAGATACTAAGTCAGTGGTCAGGACACCACTTTCAACAACATCAGATGGGGTGTGGGTCTGGACGTGGAAAAAGGAGAAGTCAGAACAAAGCTGTGTCTCAGAGAACTAGATTTGTTTTTGTTTTTAAAAAGGCTAAGCAGGAAGAGTTGGAGGGACATGCAGACTCCTTTTTCGCTGGAACTCCAAGATCACGATTTTTGAACTTGCTGATTCCTGAATGCTAGAAAGCATGCAACGCCTTAACATCACTCTGCCTAATTTGCTGAGAAAACTAAATGGATCAAGGCTGGTCAGTAGATGGGATTGAGATGAGGACAGTGGGGTCCTCTTCCCAGTGACCCTGGGAGTCACTCACTACTTCCCAGGGTCTCCCTAGACAAGTTCAGCCCTCCCCTGACCCGCTAGTCTCTTAAGCCTCTCCTCTGGACTCATGGGTGCCCCCTCAGGCTGGGAGGACTCTAAGGAAAGTTACTCCCCAACGTGTGCATATTTTATCATACTAAATCAGACCAAAGGGGAGTCTCTCAGCCTACTCTGGCTCAGGAGGCTGCCTAATACAAAACAAACAAAGTAATAAATAAACAAATAATAAATCAGGCCACATGGCAACATTCCTGACCTTTGACTTTTTTGTCTATAAACAAAACAGGTCACTTACCTGCTACAGCCCTGGGGCCTCTGAGAGCACCAAGCTTCAGAGAAATTCTTATTGCTGTGTCAGGAGGAGACTCGTTTATCCAGAGAGATGATTTTCTGAGTGTTTGGCCTACCTCCTTTCTGCCCCTTCCACTCCCTTGTGCTTGCACCCTTATTGGCTAACTGTGGTGGTTTTACCTGATTTCTCTCCTACTTTCCACTTCAGAAGCCTCAGGGCTCAGGCCGGGCATGGTGGTTTATGCCTGTAATCTCAGCACTTTGAAAAGCAGAGGTGGTAGGATCACTTGAGCCCAGAAGTTCAAGGCTGCATTGAGCCATGATCAAGGCACTGCACTCTAGGCTGGGCGGCAGAGCAAAACCTAGACTCAAAAAATAAAAATAAAGGCTGCGTGGGTGGCTCATGCCTGTAATCCCAGCACTTTGGGAGGCCCAGGCAGGCGGGTCACTTGAAGTCAGGAGACCGGTTTGGCCAACATGGTAAAACCCCGTTTCTACTAAAAATACAAAAATCAGCCAGGCGTGGCCTGTAATACCAGCTACTAGGGTGTCTGAGGCAAGAGAATTGCTCCAACCTGGGAGGCGGCGATTGCAGTGAGCCAAGACTGCACCACTGCACTCCAGCCTGGGTGACAGAGCAAGACTCCATGTCAAAAAAATAAAAAATAATTTAAAAAAGGCCAATCATGATGGCTTAGGCTTGTAATCTCAGCACTTTGGGAGGCTAAGGTGGGTGGATCACTTGAGGTCAGGAGTTAGACCAGCCTGGCCAACATGGAGAAACCCCGTCTCTACTAAAAATACAAAATTGGCTGGGCACAGTGGCACATGCCTGTAATCCCAGCTACTAGGGAGGCTGAGGCAGGAGAATCACTTGAACTTGGGAGGCGGAGGTTGCAGTGAGCTGAGATCATGCCATTGCGCTCCAGCCTGGGCAATAAGAGCGAAACTCCGTCTCAAAAAAAAAAAAAAAGCCAGACGTGGTGGCGCATGCCTGTAATCCCAGCTACTTGGGAGGCTGAGGCAAGAGAATCGCTTGAACCTGGGAAGTGGAGGTTGCACCACTGCACTCCAGTCTGGGTGACAGAGAAAGACTTCGTCTCAAAAAAATAAAAATAAAATAAAAATAAAAAAAGAAACCTCAGGGCTGAAACCATCAGCAAACATTCCTGAGAACAGATTCTGTGTCAAGTGCCTAGCACGTGCTATGGATATAGAGGCCACAAAACTCAGTCCTCACCCTGCCAGGAACTTGCAGCCTCGTGGGAGGAGAAATAAATCAAGTTGAGCACAATTTAGTGTTGCAAGTGCCATGGTGAGGAATGCACTTGGACTTTTGTCCTCTGTTTTCTCCGATCTGCTCACACACAGCCTGCTTTCCTGATGCCCAACACCCAGCCTACTACTTATCAGATCCTGGTTTTGCCTGATAGAAAAGAGCAAGGACTTTGAAGTTATACGTCCTGGATGACAGCCCTGGCTCCTCTCCCTGTTGGTTGTATGACCTCGGGCATGTTACCTACCCTCTGAGCTGGTTAGCTCATCACTCTTACAACGTACTTGATGTGTTGTTGGGCCAATGAACAGAAAAAGCTTGCTCTTCTTCTCAGCCTTTCCTTTGAGGCAGGGCTGGTCCCTGGAAACCCTTGCTGGTGCCTGGGTAGGAATTCTGACTGATTTGAAAGTAGGAGAGGATCCCCTCCTTGGTGGCCTCTTTCTGGAACCCAGTTATTTCTCCTTTCTGGAACCCAATTATTTCAATTATTTCATCTGATTACCAAGATGGTGACTTCCGCCCAGCTACATGTCTAGTCCTTGGGTCTGCTGGACGTCCTCCTCTCCATTTGAGGCAGAGCTGTCCAGAGTCTTTTTCTTTTTCTTTTCTTTCTCTCTCTTTCTTTCTTTCTTTCTCTTTCTTTCTTTCCTTCTTTCTTTCTTTTCTTTTCTTTTCTTTTCTTTTCTTTTCTTTCTTTTTGGTGGAATCTTGCTCTTATTGCCCCAGGCTGGAGTGCAATGGCATGATCTCGGGTCACTGTAACTTCCACCTCCTGGGTTCAAGCAATTATCCTGCCTCATCCTCCCAGGTAGCTGGGATTACAGGTGTACACCACCTGCCCAGCTACTTTTGTATTTTTAGTAGAGATTGTATTTTTAGGGGTTTCACCATGTTGGTCAGACTGGTCTCAAACTCCTGACCTCAAATAATCCACCTGCCTCAGCCTCCCAAAGTGCTGGGAATACAGGTGTGAGCCCCCGCGCCCAGCCCAGAGTCTTTCTCCCCAGAAGGAAAGAAAAAGCCATCCTTTGCTTTCCAGAACTCCTCACGACCACCTCCTTCCCCCTGTCCACATGCCTCCTTTCCCATGGAAGGTGGATGGGTTAGTCTGGGGCTTCAGCGAACCTCCAAGGAAGGAATTCAAGGAGAAACCTGGACCGAGCAGCCTTCCTCCAGACCTCCCCTAAAGCTGACCTGGGGCTGTCTATGAGGCAGCTGCGTTCAGGGTGTTGGGAACACTCAGAGCTGGGAAGACAGAGGGATCAGTGGCTAAAGCCTCTCAGAATTGGGTGTGGTGCTCAGAGCTGGGCATCCAGTGACTTGGGGCTGATGGTAGGGACAGAGGAGTAAGTGGGCTTTGTGGACCACTCTCCATGGGGATGGCTATGATCATATAAGACCGTAGACCTAAGGCAAAAAACCGAGGCAAAAGTAATATAAGTAGAGAGTTTATTTGGGGCAAGTTTTCAGACTGCAACCCAGGAGCATAGACTCAAGTTGTCCTGAATATATGGCCCGATGAGCAGCAGTTACAAGTGGGTTTTTAAAAGAAAAGAAGGCTGGGCGCAGTGGCTCACGCCTGTAATCCTGGCACTTTGGGAGGCCAAGGCGGGCAGATCACAAGGTCAGGAGTTCGAGACCAGCCTGGCCAATATGGTGAAACCCTGTCTCTACTAAAAATACAAAAATTAGCTGGGTATGGTGGCGGGTGCCTATAGTTTCAGCTACTTGGGAGGCTGAGGCAGGAGAATCACTTGAACCCGGGAGGAGAAGGTTGCAGTGAGCCGAGATCACACCATTGTACTCCAGCCTGGGCGACAGAGCGAGACTCTGTCTCTACATAAATAAATAAATAGAGCGAGACTCTGTCTCTAAATAAATAAATCAATAAATGAAAAGAAGAGACAGTTCCTAAGTGATTTACCAAGAATGTACATTAAAATGATTTAAGCTATTGATTTGTTATACCTTGTGCTTTGTATCACAAATTTTGTAAACCTGAAAGTAATGGGTGAAGCAGTTAGTTAGGAGCAAAATGCCTTTAAACAATTTTCCCTGGGAAAGGGGGAGCATGACTGAAGTCCCACACTCAGGTCTCTCTGGGCTTGATACATTTTGCTTACATCACATAGCTCAGACAGCTGCTGAGCTATTTTTCTGTTCTTGTGACCAACGATTTACACACACATGGAAAACTACAAAATGCTGTTTCTATATGAGTGCCTTGTGTTAAGCCTGGAAGTGTTTTGGGTGGTAACCATAAATAGGTACAAGAAATAGACTCTTCCCATAATTTCCAAAACATGATT